CACACTGCAGCCTGAGTACCCATTTTAAAATGGAAATCAGGGGCTTCCCTGATGGTCTAGTGATTAAGACTCCACCTTGCAATTCAGGGGACATGGGTTTGATTCCTGGTCGGGGAACTAAGATCCCACATGCCTCAGAGCAGCTAAGCCCTCACACCACAACTAGAGAGCCTGCACATTCTAGAGCTTGTGCTCCACAACAAGGAAAACCTTCAAGCTGCAACTAGAGAAATCCTGATCACTGTAAGGAAGACCCAGTGCAGCCAAAAAAAATTTTTTTTAAAAGAATAAAATGGAAATCAGATTATGACAATCCCTTAAAACCTTAAAATGTCTTCCCACATTTTAAGAATAAATGTTAAGAATAAAATATCTTATTCTTCTCTAAAAATAAAGGCAATTTTTCAAAAAATTTGAAGTACAATTAACTTACAATATTATAATGGGCTTCCCTGATAAAAAGAAATTATATTACTTTCAGGTATACAACATAGTGATCCAATATTTTTATACAATATAAAATGATCACCATAAGTCATCTGTCACCATATAGAGTTATTATAATATTATTGACTATATTCCCTAAACTATATATTACATCCCTGTGACCTTTATTTTATAACTGGAAGTTTGTACCTCTTAACCTGTCCTTGTCAACTGAAAATGAAAAGCACAGCCTAAAAGTTGAGAATTATCTTTTATTCAGCAGACAAAACTGAGGACTTAAGCAGGGGACACAGTCTCTCTGAAGTGGTAAAGGAGGAGCCAGGATATATAGGAGTTCCTGCAAGAAAGACCAGATAGGCAGAAGTTCAAAAGATTACTCTTAAAGAGAACCGGATATTCCAAGTTAAGGAATTCAGCGCTTTTCTATGTCTGGGAAGATGTGAGTCTGGACTCATTGAAATCTTTCCTTGGATATGAACCTCAGCTAATGGAGCCAATATCCTGTGCTTTCTCATCCCGAGTCTCCTCGGGTACAGGGGTCTGGGGCTGCGGATGGGGGTGATTGCAGGGCTGACTGCTTGATGGCTGGCATCCCATTTCCATCCTCAGTTCCTTCAGGGCTCACCTTCCGCGGCTGTAATGTGAAGGCTTGATGGCTGCAACGTTCTTTGTTTATTGATAGGTCAGGGAACATTTTTTTTCATGTATAACCTATTTCTTTATTTCCTTCCTTCAAAGCTACATTTCTTTCTTTCTTTTTTAAAAAATATTTCTTTATTTGGCTGCATCAGGTTTTAGTTGCAGCATGTGGGACCTTTCCTTGAAGTGCACAGGCTTCTCTCTAGTAGTAGTGACAGGGCGTGGGCGGGCTGGCTTAGTTGCCCTGAGGCACCTGGGGGTTTTAGTTCCCCGATCAGGACTCGAATTTCCCCTGCATTGGAAGGCAGATTCTTAACCACTGAACCACCAGGGAAGACCCAAGGCTACATTTCTTGAAAAAGCTTCTAAAGCTCTGGGTAATGTGACACCTGCCTACTGCTCCGGGCTGGTTAGTGACTCCTTCCCCTCCACCCCACCCCTCCAGTTCTCAGTGGCCAACAGTGGGATCCTCAGACACAAACACGACATCTTGCCCAGACCTGGCACACCCTCTCCTTCCCGTGGCCAGGTATTGGGCCTCCTTCCTCACCGCCTGGTCACAGGGCGTGTCACTTGAGTGGGGAGCTCTCTGTTCTCCCGTCTGCACCCCTTCCTAACACGGGCCACAGTGCACTAAGGTTTTTCTCAAAGCCCCCCTGTCTGCACCATCTGGAACACACTAGGTACTGCCTGAACATTTGTTGAAGGGGTGGCCTTAGAGACCTAGTTCTTCATGGAACTGCGATTTCTACCACTGAGTGGCAATCCAGAACACCAGGGCTTTTTAAATGTTTCCTATGATGTACATTAACGTTAGAGGAGGCATGGCTAGAATCTGATTGAACAGGAAGTGGAGGCAGCAGGTTGGGACTAGAGTGAGCAGGCAGAGGGTGTGGCATTTCAGGAAGGGCTTCTCTCCTCCTCTCTTGCCTCACTCTGACCCCGGCCCCGGGAGGGCAGCCTCTGCTCACAACCACTCAGGTATACAATTGAAAAACCAAAACCACAGTGGTGTTAAAGGGCGGTTTGAGACAGCCGCCTGACCTGCACGCAGCGCGAGGAGCCAGCGTGCCGCTCCCGGGCGGGAGGGGGCGGCAGAGAAGGACCCGCGCCTGAACTGAAGCCGGGCGGGCGCTGGGAGGACCGGGCGGAGAGGCGGCCTCTCCTAGGGGCAAGCTGCCAGACTCAAGGACGGAATTCATTATTCCAGCCCTTAAAAAGAACAGCTCGCGCCCTACATCCAGGTGATCTTCCCGACCCAGGGGTCAAACCCAGGTCTCCTGCATTGTGGGGTTGGCTTTACAATTCCAAGTGTACTAAAAAAAAAAAAAAAAAAAAAAAAAACCCATGGAATTGCACACCATGGATGGATTGTGTGCTGTGCGAATTACAAAAAAAATTAATAAATAAAATAACAGCTTGGGGCTACGCAAAACCAAAGTTTCTGTTTCAAGTGAACAGCTGCCCGGATTCTTAATCCCAAAGACTGAAGAATAGGAAAGCCACGACGGGGGCGTGGGTAGGGAGGGATGGTTGAGGGGTAGGGCCCCACCGTACCCCGGGGGGGTGGGGGGGGGGGCTGGCCGTGGCCGTCAGTCCCTCTGCCTGGAGGGAGGGCGCGGGAGCCCGCAGGGTTCCGCTCGGTAGAGCCTCCCGGATGATATTGCAATATTGCGTACACCCTGAGCCAGCGTGTGCATCCCAGTACATCAGGCACCGGGAAACCCTGCCGCTGCCTTCCGGGCAGGAAGACCTACTTTAACAAAACCGCTGACACTCTTACTTTAAACTAGCTGCTTCCATGTTCACGCCTGTAAGACAGAAGCTCAGCTGGTAGCTCAGCTGGTAAAGAATCCTCCTGCAAAGCAGGAGACCCCGGTTTGATTCCCGGGTTGGGACGACCCCCTGCAGAAGAGATAAGCTACCCACCCCAGTGTCCTTGGGCTTCCCTAGCGGCTCAGAGGCCACCTGCAGTGCAGGAGACCTGGGTTAGATCTCTGGGTTGGGAAGATCCCCTGGAGAAGGAAATAGCAACCCACTCCAGTATTCTTGCCTGGAGAATTCCATGGACAGATAAGCCTGGTGGGCTACAGTCCATGGGGGTCACAAAGAGTCAGACATGACCGAGCGACTGAGGACAACCACTGTGCCAAAGTTCTTCAAAGAAGTTGTTTTTCAAGTAGGTCACACAGGTGCCTTGCCGTCCTGTGTTCTCCGAAGTTTTCTTGCCTAGAAAGTTCTTATCAAAGTCTGGTCCAGTTTGAGCAAAAAAAAATGAAGTGTCAGTTTTTAGTAGAGACTCATTCATTTTCAAACATTAACCATTTTTAATACATAATTTATTGATGTTAATTGTACAATTAATTGTAGGAAAATTAACAAAGGAAAACCATCCGTGATCCGCCTACTAATAATATAACTATTCTAAGCACTTTGGTGTATTACCATCTTGCCAGATTTTTTTTCCTGTGCAAATGCATATTTGTGTTTTTCCTCATGTTCTTTGTTTTTCATGTTTATTTATTTGTTGGTTGCGCTGAGTCCTTGTTGCTTCACGCGGGCTTTCTATAGCCGCACCACACGGGCGTCTCATTGCAGTGGCTTCTCTTGTTGCGGAGCACAGGCTCTAGAGTGTGGGGTTCAGTAGTTTGGCTCATGGGTCTAGTTGTTCCGCAGCATGTGGGATCTTCCAGGACCAGGGATCCTGCCCATGTACCCTGCATTGGCAGGCGGATTCTTAACCACTGATCCACCGAACCACCAGGGAAGTCCCCTCACATGTTCTATGTTGAATATCTTTTCATGTCCATCAATAAAGATCAACATCATTATTTTAATCACTGCACATATCATTTTGATAGCTCTGTACCATTGTGGAGATAGGTGAACCACACTTTAACTATATCTCTTGCTAGACACCTAAGCTGTTCTCTGTATCACCAAAGTCTTCTTACACAAGCAATCTTGTATATGCATCAGATTATTTAAGATTAACTGCCAAAATGGAAAAAGTCTGGGTCAAGTGTTCGGCCATTTTTAAGGCTCTCAAGATGTAAAACCAAACTACAATCCAGAACCATCTTACCAACTAGTCCTCCCACCAGCGGTACCCTGCAGTGCGGATCTCCTCATAGCTCTCTAACACTTCACCCACACTGAGCACTGATGTTTCCAATGCTGGTTCATGGTGTGCCAGGCACTGACAAAGTCAAATCAGAACACAGCCCAGTTAGGGAAGGGGGTGGGAGGAAGAAACAAGTAAGGAGTCATCGTTTACAGGGCAGGGTGCTGAGATTATTGTACAGAGAATTCACAGAAATTGGATGTCATCTTCCAGGGACAGGTGTCATAGAAGGCTTCCTGGAAGAGGTTGTTTCTGAGGCTGGCCATGAAGAATCATCTGTCATTAACTGAGTAAAGTAGGGAAGGAGTGATGAGCCGGATAGAGAAATAGTCCTGGTAGATGCAGGTAGAGAAGAGATCCTGGATGTGAATGTACAAGACCTTTTCAGTGAACTGCAAAACATTCTGTAACAGACTGAAGGGTACATGGGGAGGTGGGGACCGTGGACAGAAGTGATGGAGAGTGAGGCTGAAGGGCTGGTTTGGACCTGATCAAGAGAGTCTCTGTTGGCTACGTAGAAGTGCTTTATCCAGAAAACTAGATAAACCTCCCCAAACTGAAACCTCCTTGGGAGGCAGAAGTTGGCATTAAAACCTATACATGGTAGAGTCACACCAATCCCAGGGACCAGCATCGATGTTGAACTCGAAAATTGCTAGGAGCTCTCTGAGCTAGAAACAGCCACTTAACCTCTGTGTCTATTAAAATAAAAATAAAAGACTAGGTTCCTTCCAGTTCTAGGCAGCTATGAACTCAGGCACATCCTTTGACTTTTTTTCTTTTTTTCCAGAAAAGGTGGCCATCAAGATCCTGGATAAGACCAAGTTAGACCAGAAAACCCAAAGGCTACTATCCCGCGAAATCTCCAGCATGGAAAAACTGCACCATCCCAACATCATCCGCCTTTATGAGGTCGTGGAGACTCTATCCAAGCTCCACCTGGTGATGGAGTATGCAGGGGGAGGGGAGCTCTTTGGGAAGATCAGCACGGAAGGGAAGTTCTCAGAACCAGAAAGCAAGCTCATCTTCTCCCAGATTGTGTCTGCCGTGAAGCATATGGTGAGCGGGGTGAGGAGGGAAAATCTAGCCTCCCATTCCCCCACGATGGAAGCCTGGGGCTTTAGTTTACCTTTGTGTAAGCCAGCAGTCCCCAAACTTTTTGGCACCAGGGACCAGTTTTGTGGAAGACAAGTTTTCCATGGACCAGGGAGTAGGGGGTGGTTTCAAGATGATTCTCATAAGGAGCTTGCAACCTAGATCCCTCCCATACACCGATCACAGTAGGGTTCGAACTCTTTTGAGTACCTAATGCTCTTGGCAGAGCTCAGGCAGTAATGCGGGTGATGGGGAGCAGCTGTAAACACAGGTGAAGCTTCACTTGCTTACCTGCCACTCACTTCCTGCTGTGCAGACTGGTTTCTATCAGGCTTCGGGCCAATACTGGGGGTCGGGGCCCCCTGATCTAAGCATCCCTGCGGGCTTCAGTCCTTTATAAGGGCAGATAGCTGTCCCTTCTGTGAGAGTCTGATGTCTGGCTGGGATTGTGCTCCTGACCTCCTAAGCAATGCCCAGGAGCCTCAGTTACAGGGCAGCCTCCTGGCTTCTGCGGAAGTTGGCAGGAGTCACTCTGAGCAGCTGGATGACTGTCATCCATTCCCTGGCCACACCCACTCCTCCATCCCTGTCTCCTGGTACTCAGAGAGCTGGCTTCTGGCTGCTTCTTGGCCTTGCCTTCCTTCTGCGTCTAGGATGCCCTCGCCCCTCTCCTCGCCTCACATTCCCGATCTCATCCGAGCTGACCCAGCTCAGCTTGTCTCTCTCTCTGAAGCTTTCTTCAGTCTGGGCTCAGCCTGCACTGATCTTCATGCGTTTGGTGAACTCTCCTAGCTCTCCACACCAACACTTCGTGCTCAGCACACGAACACTTGCTTGTGTCTTTCTGATTTTAGTTCTCTGATTATTTCTTTAGATAAATCTGGAACTCCTTAAGCACACTCCCCAGGCCCTCCATGAACTGATTCTCCTGTGTCCTCTCTATCAACAGCCATATTACTGGGCACACAGGAGGACTCGGACTTGCAGTCCTGACCACCACTTGTACCACTGTTAGTGCAGAAGCTTTGGCCGCCCTGTTTGCCCAGCTCTCAGTGTAACTGGCAGGAAGAGACACTTGTCTGGGGTCTGTGTTAGCTGGGAAGCTGTATCTAGTTTGCTCAACTGCTTGGATGTTGTGAGATAAGAACTGGGATCAGTGAGCTCCTGGCCAAATTATTAGCAGGTTATTAGTGACCTAGGGACCCTGAGATCACATTTGGGAGGGAGAGGGGGAAGAAAAAGAAGTGAGCAAGGGAGAACCTAAGCTTGATAGTGGTGCCTGTTTCAGACCTGTGGTCCCACCAATTGTCACCAAAGTGACTCTGTGCTGGGATGGACTTTCCCCAGGCCGAGAACTAAGCCAGACCTATACCACGCATAATGCTGAAGCTGAAGCTTCAGTACATTGGCCACCTGATTCAAACAGCCAACTCATTGGAAAAAACCCTCATGCTGGGAAAGTTTGATGGCTGGAAAAGGGGATGACAGAGGACGAAATGTTGGATGGCACCACCGACTCAATGGACATGAGTTTGAACAAACTCTGGGAGATAGTGAAGGACAGGGAGGTCTGGAGTGCTGCAGTCCATGGAGTCACGAAGAGTCAGATATAACTGAGCGACTGAACAACAAATACGAAGCAGTGGAGCAGATGGTCGGAGTCTTCCATGTTCTACTCGGAAAAGAGATGGGGCAGGAGAACAGAGAGGATCCAGCAGTCGAGAATGCAGGCTGAGTCCTCTGAGGCTCCATACCGTGACTTTCTCCAGCTCTCGGGTCTCCAAGAGAGAGGATGACAGGAGTAGATCTGGATTTTATTGGGTTTGCCTGCTGTATGCCAGGACCATGCTGGACATTACAGATACAGCATCACTTACAGTTCAGCATCACTTACAGTTCTCACAAGAGCTTTGTGTGTGTGTTAGTCCCTCAGTCGTGTCCGACTCTTTGCCACCCCATGGGGTCTAACCCAGGCTCTTCAGTCCACGGGATTTTCCAGACAAGAATACTGGGGTGGGTTGCCATTTCTTTCTCCAGGGGATCTTCCCGACCCAGGGGTTGAACCCGGGTCTCCTGCATTGCTGGGAGATACCATCTGAGCCACCAGGGAAGTCCCTATAAGAGCCTTAGGAGGTGGTACTCAGTGTTCTGTTTTACAAAGAAGGAAGCTGACACTCACATACACGGCCAGTATAGTTGAACCTAGATCTAATCAAAATATCAGGCTCCAAAGCCTGGATTCTTACCCCAGAAGGTCCACCCGGAAAAGTAGCATAAAACCATTTTCCAAGTGCCCTTGGCATTAAACTGGTCAAGAGTCTTCAAGGTTGTCTGGATCCAGAATGCAAGGGTGGGATGGGATCTGCTGCCAGAAACTTGCCCACTATAACTTGCTCCCTTCTCCTGAATTGTATAAAGTTATAGGAGTCCATCCAAAGGAGCAGGGGTAGGGGGTCGGAGGAGGGCTCTTTTTCTTCTTGAGGTTGGCCCTAGTCAAGAGATTGCTCAGCCAGGAAAACCCATATATGGTCTCAGAGGTGAAGGATTACTGTTTCATCGTGTTTCACAAGATCTAGGTCTTTCTCTCTCTCTCTTTAGTTGCTAAGTCATGTCCGACTCTTGTAACCCCGTGGACTGTAGCCTGCCAAACTCCTTTGTCCATGGAATTCTCCAGGGAAGAATACTAGAGTGGGTTGCCATTCTCTTCTCCAGGAGATCTTCCCAACCCAGGAATTGAACCCAGGTCTTCTGCATTGCAGGCAGATTCTTTACCAACTGAGCTATGAGGGAAGCCGATCTAAGTCTTACTTCTGGCACTCATTCCTGAGTCCATGTGTGTGGGACAGACTTCAGCCTTGACTCCATAGAACAGAACCTTTGGTCTGCTTGGAGGGTTTGGGTTTTACATTTGGCTAAAGATTACGCCAGGGCAGCTCGCAAGGTCTGAGGTCTGCCATGACTTAAGTTGATCTCCATTGAATTTCTATTGTTACGCCAACATCACCTCACTGTTTCAGAGCAATTACTGTATCTTTAATTTGTTTTACTTTGAGAATGATAACTTTCCCTTCTTTGTCTTCTTCCACAGCATGAAAACCAAATTATTCACAGAGATCTGAAAGCAGAAAATGTGTTCTATACCAATAATACTTGTGTGAAGGTGGGCGACTTTGGATTCAGCACAGTCAGTAAAAAAGGTGAAATGCTGAACACTTTCTGTGGGTCTCCACCCTACGCGGCGCCTGAACTTTTTCGAGATGAGCACTACGTTGGCGTTTATGTGGACATCTGGGCCTTGGGGGTGCTTCTCTACTTCATGGTGACTGGCACCATGCCATTTCGGGCAGAGACGGTGGCCAAACTGAAGAAGAGCATCCTGGAAGGCACCTTCAGCGTGCCTCCGCACGTGTCGGAGCCCTGCCTCCGCCTCATCCGGGGAGTCCTCCAGCCAGTACCCACGGAGAGGTACGGAATCGAGTCCATCATGAACAATGAGTGGATGCAAGGGGTGCCATACCCCACCCCTTTGGAGCCTTTCCAGCTAGATCCCAAACATTTGTCAGAGACCAGCAGCCTCAAAGAAGAAGAAAATGAGGTCAAAAGCACTTTAGAACACTTGGGCATTACGGAAGAGCACATTCGCAATAACCAAGGGAGAGATGCCCGAAGCTCCATCACAGGGGTCTATCGAATTATTCTGCATAGAGTCCAAAAGAAAAAGGCCTTGGAAAGTGTTCCAATAATGATACTACCAGATCCTAAAGACAAGGACCTAAAGAAAGGATCCCGTGTTTATAGAGGCATAAGACACACATCCAAATTTTGTTCAATTTTATAAATTGCATTAGACTGCTGGTAATTAACTAAGATCGTTGTTGCTGCTTTTAAATTTTTTTCACCAACTTGAGTGGAGACTTTTTGTAATTTTTAAATAAATTTAAATTGAAGATATGCATTTCCCCCTGCCCCTCCCAAATGTTTGTTAGCTCAGATTCTAGCTTGGTTTGCAATCTTGTCTTGTTCTCAAACTCTAGCCTTCATTCAGTTAATTGAAGAGTATTTACACAGTGCCAACCACATGCTATGCATGCTTTAAGGTGCTGCAAAATAGGATGGCCAAGCAGTCCAGGGTGCTGTGTTCAGGCTGCAGTCTCCCCTGGAGGTGTGGGTTTGAATCCCACTGCTGAATGAATTTCCCAGCTAGCTCAATGGTAAAGAATCTGTCTGTCAATGCAGGAGACACAAGAGATATGGGCTCAATCCCTGGGTTAGGAAGATCCCCTGGAGGAGGAAATGGGCAACCCATTCCAATATTCTTGCCTGGAGGATCCCCATGGACAGAGGAGCCTGGCGGGCTGCAGTCCACGGGATTGCAAAGAGTCAGACAGGACTGAGCACACACATTGTGTTACATTACCATATACCAGGTATTGTTTAAGATACTGCAAAATCAAAAATAGGCCAAGTCCTTCCTCTCCTGTGTGGAATAGTCTCGTGCTGAACAAAGGTACTAACAACAGCAACATTTTCTAAAATATCAGATAGTAATAGATGCTACGCAGATAATTCAAATACAGTAATCTGATGTCAGAGAGCTGCCACTTTATATTAGATGTTGGGGAAGGCTGGTTTGAGTAGCCGATGATCTGAGACCTGAATGAGAGCAGGAGTGACTCTTGGAAAGCCAGCTGTGAGCTTTCCAAGCAGCAAAGCGTTTGAGATGGGGTTCCTTCCGAACAGAGCCTAGGACAGAGGCTCCATGTAGAATGATTGATTTGGGAAGTGATCCTAGAGAGCAGGAGGGAGAGTAGAGGCGAGAAGCAGGGAGGATCACTACAGGGTGGCCCGTGCTCCAGGTGACTGTTACCCAGTCCTGTGGATGCTCTGAGGAGCCTTAGGAAACACATCTGAGGAGTCTGCCCAGGGTAGTCAAAGGGAAAGTGTCTATCCAGCAGCTCCTGGGGCCCCACGATGCCACCTGCACCTCCAGATTGTGATGAGTGAGGGCCACGGGGGTTCCCCATGCTTCTCATGCCTTAGAGCCAGGGCAACCCCGGGCAGAAAGTAAGAGGTACCCACAGTTGGCCCTGAGACAAGATGCGGTCAGGTGGGGCCTGCATGAAGCCACCCAGCTTGCCCCAGTGGTTGCTGCATCAGTGGCTGGAGAAGGACGTATGGCTGAAAGGATCTGAAATCTGTGGTCGGACACGGCCCACTCCCAGCCCTCCTCATATTCTTCCTCCATTAAGTCTGATCCATTGCTGTCAGTCTCCTTCATGGGGTGAGAGCTGGAAGCACTTAATGCAGTAGGATGTCAAATAAGTCCCAGGGGTGATTCTCAAGTTCCAGGTCAGCAGAATCACCCAGAAGGCGTGTTAAAACAGACTATGAGGCCCTGCCCCCAGTTTTGGAGTCAGAAGTGAAAGTGTGAGTTGCTCAGTCAGTTCAGGTCAGCCACTCAATCGTGTCCGACTCTTTGTGACCCCGTGGACTGCAGAATGCCAGGCTTCCCTGTCCATCACCAGCTCCTGGAGCTTGCTCAAACTCATGTCCATCGAGTCGGTCATCCTCTGTCTTCCCCTTCTCCTCCTGCCTTCAATCTTTCCCAGCATCACAGTCTTTTCCAGTGAGTCAGTTCTTCGCATCAGGTGGCCAAAGTATGGAAATACAAAGTCTTCAAGAGGGTCCTTGACTATCATGGTGAGTGAGTGAGTGAAAGTCACTCAGGCATTTCTGACTCTTTGCGACCCCATGGACGATACAGTCCATGGCCTTCTCCAGGCCAGAATACTGGAGTGGGTAGCATTTCCCTTCTCCAGGGGATCTTCCCAACCCAGGGACTGAACCCAGGTCTCCAACATTGAAGGCAGATTCTTTACCAGTTGAGTCACAAGGGAAACCCAAGAATACAAGAGTGGGTGGCCTATCCCTTCTCCAGGGGATCTTCCTGATCCAGGAATCGAACTGGGGTCTCCTGCATTGCAGGTGGACTCTTTACCAACTGAACTATCAGAGACGGTCATAGTAAGAAAAGTCAATCCTGCTTCCATCCATTGGTGCCCAGACTGGTATATTTTAACAGCAAGGAACATATATTTATGAGCCAGTGTTAAAGCATGTTACTGAATCCTGGGGGTCACCACCCCAGCCCTGCAGGATGCTGTCCTATGGCCGGTGTCTTAATTGAGCCGCTCCATCACTCTGTCTCTGCTGGCTGCTTCTGCTGCTGAGGTACTTAGTAAGAGAAGTACATCCCATGGTCATGTGCCCATCGCCCCCTCTGCTTTTACCAAAGATGTGGTACTTGAGGCAGTGTTATGTAATATGCATGACAATGGATCAGGTATTCTCCAGGACCTGGCATGATGGTCTTGGAGGATTCATGGAAGACAGGAAAGGTGAACCTATATCCTGTGTAGATGTCAGCTCTGTGAGGATGAATGGTCACTTTGTCTGTCTGAATGTATGACTGTGGATCTGATAATGCTCAGCTCATGAGGAGATCTGCTTGGTCCCTTGGTGACCCATAATCAAGTGTTCAGTCTCTCCTAGGGCCCAGAAACATGCGGAGAGCCTGAGAAATTTTCTGTTGCAGAAAGCGTGGCCTCACTCCCGGATCCTGCAGGGCTGTGCTATAACCTTCTGCAGGGGTGGCCAAAGAACACACCATGTTCTTAAGCACCACTTAGACAGTCAGAGTAGCAAGGCAATTTGCACTGAGGCCTGAAACTACTGTAGGTCTTTTTTCTGTGGCATCCCTTGAAACCAGCAGCCCTGATAAATGGGTTGGAGGAATATACCAGGTGCAGCATGTGTGTTTCCCAAACCCAGAGAGGCCTGCTAAACCCTGTGTCTCTATCTCAGTGATAGAGGGTACAAGGTGCAACATACAGAGATGTGCCTCAAGTCACTGGTCCCCTACACACTTCATCAGTGTGGCCTGGCCCCTGCCTTTTCATAGAACTTACCACCCACACTCTGACACACACAGGCCTCTGGAGGACTGGCTACTTTCTGATGCCACATCCACCTAGAATGCTGTGGCATGGACCAGTATAAAGTGCTGCAGGGCCTCAAGATGATGAAGGTCCTTCTAGACTATCTTGTGACGTAGAGCAGCAGATTTCACTTTGCCTCCCGGCAATAGAATAAATGAGAATTTCTGTCTATCCCAGGAAACTGTGAACTGCTTTTTGTTTTAATTTTATTTATTTTTTAATTGAAGGCTAATTGCTTTACAGAATTGTGTTGGTTTCTGCCAAACATCAACATAAGTCAGCCTGAGGAATACACATGTCCCCTTCCTCTTGAACCTCCCTCCCACCTTCCTCCCCATCCCATCTCTAGGTTGTTACAGAGCTCAGGTTTGAGTTCCCTGAGTCATACAACAAATTCCCATTGGCTCTCTATTTTACATATGGTAACTAAGTTTCCATGTCACTGTCTCCATATGTCCTAACCTCTCCTTCTCCCCAACCCCTGCCCCCGATGTCCATAAGTCTGTTCCATATGTCTGTGAACTGTTTTTAATCCTCCCTTTTGATGTAAAATGAGAATGAAAATTTCCCCCCAAATAGCTGCACATCGATGCTAGAGTCTTTGTGTAAAATTCACATCCAATATGGCAGTGAAAACTGAGACTAACAGCGGTCCGCCGTCATCCTTCATTAGCCATCTGCTCTCTTTAGGAGTCTGATGGGTAAATTAAAGTACGTTAACGAGGTTGTGATGGAACCCATAACCTTTGGGTCCTTTATTCTCCGATGGTGACCCTGACGGATGCATTTCCTCATGTGGTTACTTACAAGTTATTAACATGGCTGGGGAGATGACATACTTTCAGAGGTCTCCATGTGGTGCCTCCTCTCAAAATGGTTCTTACTCCACAGGTCAGGGGTCTAAATATGTTTATCCCAAATAGGTACTTGGAGACGAAGGAAAGGACCCCAAGATGAGCCCCCCAGTGTGAGACAGACTTTGGCCAGAACTCAGCCACCACCTGGTTTCCACAGGTCTCCATCCCATCTACACATAGGGCTGTAACGGTACTTGGGTTCTCTGGTGTCCACTTCAGTTCACACTTTTTATCCAACAGGCCTTAAACATTCGGGGTGTACATATCATATGCACTTGTAGCAGAGCCTTTTGTCACGGAATCTTGGCTGCCCCCTCACCGTGCACTGGATCTGTAAATTAACTCAGATCTGGAATCATAATTTTCTCATTGTGACAGGCTACACCAGCCTTCTGCTCACAGCTTGCCTCTTTCCTTTTTGGTTATACAAGTCAAGTAACGCTCTACAAATTGTCACTGAGAACTCTGATCTGTTAGCCATTGTCCCAAAGCCCTGCAAACCAAACACCCTGACTCCCACTCTAGCCTCAGTGCCCATGTCCACCTCGCCTCTGACCTTTAAGTAATGATACATGGCCTCTGCCACTCTGGAATCCCATGCATGCCCCGTTTCATGATGGCATTTCCTACTGTCATCCCTGCCTGCAGGGGGCGGTTGTCACTGAGCTTGTGGTAATTGGGGCGCCCCCTCCCCACCGCAGTCTTTGTTGCCTGTGTGAAGGCAGTAGCCTGGGAACTTACGTGGTTCTTCAGACTCACATAATGAATCCATTCTAACAGTCACACCTCTTGGAACTTTCTGAGCCTTTCCTTAATCGTATAGCACAGCAGTTCCACCATCTCCACCTCGCTGGTATGCCAGACTCACATCCAAACCTCAGCAGCCATCCCAGCAGTAATATTAGGACCAGCTTCAGGTGTCCTTCACCTCACGGGGACAGGCTCCCATGATAATAAACTCTCCGTCATCCTGCCTCCACCTC